GAGCCCGATGCGGGACTCGATCCCGGGACTCCAAGATCATGACCCGAGCCGAAGGCAGTCGCTTAACCAACTGAGCCACCCAGGCGCCCGGGAAAATGTCCTTTTTATGATCGGGTATCTGCTTGTCCGTGGGCTCTGTCCAGTATTTTATATACTGCCTGGACATAAATCCTAGCTCTTCCAATTATTCGGTGGATAAGCATAGAGATTATTGAATCTCTCTGAGCTTCATTTTTTCACCTGTAAAATGGGTATAATAATAGTAGCTATCTCATAAGATTGACACTGGGGATTAAATGAGATCACAGAGGTAGAGTGCCCGGAACAAAGTAAGTACTCAGTAAATAAGAATGCCACCACCATCACCGTCATCATTATTTGGGTTTCATAGGGAACAGCATCAAGGTCAGAGGCAAGAAGGCATTATTTAGTACATCTTTAAGATTTTTATTAGTATCTCGCAGCACCTGGTACTGGTGAAGATTCAGCTAAATGGCTGCCTAGATAAGTCGGTAATCTTCAAGACAGGGAGAACATAAAAAAAAAAAAAAAAAAAAAAAATCCCTATGCTCCAGGCAGGTAGTAGAGGGTTAAGGATTTTCAGGAAGGGTGGTGATTTACAAATGGGTTTCCCTGGCACCAGGGAAGGGGGCAGGGGAGGAGGAGGAAATGGAGCCATTTTAGGCATATCAAAGGCACCTGTGAGACAGGAGGCTGGGTTGATGGCCAGGAAGCTGCTTGCTGTAAATGTCTGTGAAGAGGTAATGTGGCCAGCCTAGGGTGAGAATCATCCAGGGGTGACCTTGCATGGTTTCATTCTGTGTCTTTTTAGTCCCACTTTGTTCTCAGTTGCATGGAAACAACCAAAGCTGACAACCAAATCTTTCTTTCAGCTACAAATCCACCTCACCGCGTAAAGAGAGCTAAGCATGTAAGTGTTCGGATGTCTCTAAAAATAACACATGACGTTTCCTTTTTGTTTGGAGGCTGTGTGTAGTACTTTAAAATACGCTGGCTAGTCAGGTCCAACTGCCCTGGGTTTGAATCCTGGCTCTGTTTCACTAGTTGCGTAACGTTGGATGAATTCTAGAATTTCTCTGGGTCCCAGCGTTCTCATTCGGGCCGTGGAGATTGTAATACTATCTACCCAGCAGTGTAATTATGGAGATGAAATGGGACAACGCTCATAAAATACTCAGCACAGTGTCCGGCACATAGTAAATACATATTAATTATTATTATCGAAATCTTTTGGATGAATTGTTTTCTGAGATCAACGGGGAAAGGGTAGTATCATCGGAAAGAAAGGGGAAGGGAAGAAAAGCTATGGAAAAGAGAAGCAGGAATGTAGAGGCTGATCCAGGAAGAGAGGCACTTACGAGCTGTCAAAAAAAAAAAAAAAAAATCCTGAGAGGGAAAGAGGATAACATGGCAGGGGCTCAAAGGCAGAGAGAGGCTTAGCTTTGCTTTTTGCCAAGGTTCCATCCATCTGGTCTTGGCTTCTCTGCTGGGTTTTTCCTCCAAAGGACAGCTCCAGAAGCCCAGCGGTGAAACCCAGGGCAGGGAGATAGATCATCTCTGAATCACCCCAAATTCTGCACTCAGGGGAGGCATATAAAAAATGTACATATTATTCTTTTGCAGTATCGAATTCCCCTGAGACTCATAGAAGAGACAGGCCTGTCAAGTGAGTCAGCAGTGACCACAGGCAGACATAATCCCATTGCTTTTTGGCTGACAACTCATGCAGAGGGAAATAGTCTCTGATCCAGACAAAGGTAAATGTGGCTTAAATCCCCACACAAAGTTCTAACCATAATTCTCTTCTAGCCCCAGTCGATGATGACCCCAGATGCCAGAAATATCAGAAACACCATCTCTGCATTTCTTGCTGTTGGGTTGTAATAACTGAGTCATTGCTAAAGGTAAGATGCTCAAAGGGTAGGATAACTCATTATTTTCAGATCTAAGCAAAAAAAACAAAAACAAAAACAAAAACAAAAAAACCGAACAGAGTGATGTCTTTCCTCAGATTTGTTTAATAGCAGATATTGTAGCGCAGTCTCTATTAAGGGTGAACATACAGAAAATGAGCACAAACCTGAATAAGTTATGAGATATCTAGAAGAACAAAACACATGGTGAACCACATGGTTTTTTTTTCTTTTATGTGAATGAAGGGTGGCTGGTCTGGATCCACTCCTATGGCTTTTTGAATTCTAATCAATTATAAAAACAAGGCAAAATTGCAGTTCTACAACAGATTGTCAATACGTCCTCTTCTGATGTGCCTTCACAAACACAGTCATTTAAGAAACCAAGTTGAAGTCTGGATCTGAGTTATCAGAATGTAGGCCATGCTTAAGAGGAAGATCAAAGGGCAGTTTTCACATTACAAAAATTAGCTTAATGCTGAAGAATAATTGCTCTTGTAAAATTAAACATGGATTGAAATCATGTATTATGATCCACCCCATCTGTTTAGCATACACTTTATCTACCTATCGATCATCTATCATCTCTCTCTCTCTCTCTCTAAATATATTACATATATTATATATTTTTTAGGAAAGAAGAGAAATATGTTTATTTTACATTTTTGCTAAATTACTTTCTTTCCTAAGACGTAATTCCAAGACCTCTGGGATGGCTTTGATTGAAATCCACCTGTTTTTGTTTGTAACTTAAGTGCAGCGTGGCCAGCCTGGGTAGAAGGTGACTTTCCCCGATAGGTGAGCTCCTGGGTCAGCTGACCGTCTACAAAGCACAGAAACGCTCTCCTTTCTGGGTTCAGACTTCTACCCTCTATTTAGCACTTTCCTCTAGCCCACCCAAAGCCGATGCTTCTCCATCCCCTCAGAGCTCTGCTGCTAAGGTCCATGGTTCCTTAGCTGGTGTTGCTGAGGCTCCTGCCACTGCCTCAGCTCAGCTGGTCACACTACTCATTTAATCATGAGCTTGCAGTGCAGCCCAGTGTGAGACCCGGAGAGAAGACAGGATTCTGTTCTCAGTGGGATAGAATATTTAAGCTTAGGCCTCTGCTTTAAGATTTGGGACTCAATTTTACCCTTTAGAGCTGTATGTGTCAATACCCCAAGGCAATTTTTTCTGGGACGCATTTTGCTTTGAATTGGAAATATGCTTTTGATGTTTTTTTTATTTAATAAGGCACAGGCACAGGACTACATTCATTATTTAGACTAGAACTTATTTTGCACTTGATGTAAGAAAAAAAGCTGGTACACTTGTTCAGGGTAATTGCATAGAGTGAAATGAAACCAATTTATGTAAAGGATTATTGAAGGAATACAAAACTTCCAAAGTAAGCCTGCTAAATCATTCATTCAGTAAGTGATTGACATTTGCCCAGATTGGGATCGTGGGCTTTGCTAGGTTTTAAAGGAAAGCGAAGAAGCAATTATTTAAAAGTGAACATGAAAACCAGCATTGAAAGAGAGCAATCCTGGAGGGCGGATATATTTTAAGTGATTATTCTCTCTTAAATAATTTAATTAACAGACCACTGGGCTCGGCCCCAGTAATCATCTCTCAGCCTGTGTCTACTTGGCAACCTTTGATATTCTATCATTAAAACATATGTAAATGCAACGTAAATAATGTCAACTACATTTTTATTTTTATTTATTTTTATTTTTTAAAGATTTTTTTAAATTTATGTATTTGAGAGGGAGAGAATGAGAGATAGAGAGCACGAGCGGGAAGAGGGTCAGAGGGAGAAGCAGACTCCCCGCTGAGCAGGGAGCCCGATGCGGGACTCGATCCCCGGACTCCAGGATCATGACTTGAGCTGAAGGCAGTCGCTTAACCAACTGAGCCACCCAGGCGCCCCATGTCAACTACATTTTTAAAGGATAATTATCTCTTATTCTTCTACAGATTCCTATTTCATTTTATGATTAAAAATGTTGCTATAAACTAAATGGGTGCAGTTGGGCTTAAAGTCTATTTCTGGGAATCCAGCTCTTGAAACTACTCGTTCCTGTTACATTTCCAGTTAATATCTGTAAATCCATCCGACGCTAAAAAATCTGATGTGAAGAAATTGTAAATCTAAGTCCTTTCCTCTGCTCTAGACATAATACGTCCAAAATTTACGAAGAGGTAAATGCAACATTTTCATCAGTTAGTTGTTCTCTAGACTTAATATCAGGAACATTTCAGGCAATCAAGAAGAGGAAAAAAAGAGCATCTTTAATTGATTCCTCAGAGAGTTCTTTTCCAGATTGTATATCATTGTTCTTATGTTTTCTATTTGGTTGTTTCAGGAGCTACACAAATGAAATATAGGACGCAGATGAATAAAATGCTAACAAGACACAGGGCAATATTAAAATGGTCCCACTTTACCTGGATGGGATAAAGACAGTCTACTCCATCAGAGGGAATAAAAGCAAATGTCAAGGAAGGATTTTTACCCTTACAAAAGTACAAGCCTCATTTGCCTTGGAGAGAGCCATGGGGCAAGACATCTTGTGATGAGGCTTGTAGGGATGCAGAAGGGGCTCTGAAATAGGAGCTGGATATGAACCCCCACCCGGAATGAACGAATGAACTTAGTGAGCTCCGGAGAAGCACCCACTGACCGTGCCTCTCTTGGTTTCCGAGGCTCCTCGACAGCCTCTCATGGATCAATATACCAGTCAGTCAACCCACACATCAGTATTTTCTGCCCTTTAGAAACAATGATGGTATTTACCATTGGTGAGTGTGATCTGTGTATTTATAGAATATCTTGCCTCACGTTTTGCATGGTGCACTGGGTGTTATGAACAAACAATGAATCATGGAACACTGCATCAAAAACTAATGATGTAATATATGGTGATTAACATAACAATAAAAAAAAAAAGAACATCTTGCCTCAGATTGAAAGACGTAGTCTGGGGGTCTGCTGTGTTAAAATCCCTTTAATTTTCTATTTGAATGTCTCCAAGGTTTGTAATTTTGCGATCATGTACTTATGGTCATAACGAGTCAAGTTTAAACTGGATTCTCTTTAGTACCCCTTTTTCATATATATTTTCACCCCATATATAAAGTTTGGGGTCAAAAAGTCCAGGGAATGTTGAAAAATACAATAATACATTGAAGGGCAGAACATTAAAAAAAAAACAAACCACTAGTTTACCTTGCTCTTCAAATTTTTTAAGGTTTAGAAAATTTATTCGTATTTTTAAGCATTTTAAGAATTATTCTAAACCACCTTCTGGGTATTTGTCTAGGGGCACCCAGCTGGCTCAGTTGGTAGAGCGTGCAACTCTTGATCTCAGGGTTGTGAGTTTGAGCCCCACGTTGGGTGTAGAAATTACCTAGAGTGACTGTCTTTACTGGGTTGAGATCATGTTCCTTTATTGTGAGCACACAGTAGAAGCTCAATGAAAGCTTCTTTTCAGAATGAGTTACTATAAAGAAACACTTATGTTTCTCTTTTACCATAATAGGTACTACTTATAAGTAGTATTTTCTTTGCCTATGGTATTTATATAACAAAACCAAGTTCAGTATAAGAATTGACTTAAAGTAATACTATAAAGAATGGGATCTTAAAGGTGGGAAATTAAAGGATTAAAAAAAAGTCTCGGATCTGCCCATGAATTTCTAAATATAGTGTGCTTGGCCAGGAAAATGGAAATGAATATTGGTGAATGAACTTCAAATGAAAGGCAATTATCAGTATAAAGCCATGTCAATTTAAATTAACATAAAGAAAACACAACTATTTGTAAAACCACCATGTACATTAAGAGACAGGATACTCTCTCTCAACTTGCATTCTCCAGACTGTCCGGGCAAAATTGCCTGTAGAGTCCTCCAAGGGGTGTCTGGGGCCAGATTTGTAGAAAACATCCCCGGAAATGGTATTACCAAAGCAATGTGGGCTGCTCTCCTCTTTAACCAGATGGAGTCTGGCCAGGTTCCGGCCGAGCTTCTGAACAGCCCGTCTGGATACGTGAAACCTGCAGCACAGGCAGCAGCAGCTGGAGGGCATCCTGGATGTACGTGGTGCTGTTGCAGCCCTGGGAGGAGGGAGACACAGGCTGAAGGGCTGCCTTCAGGGTTCAGGCCTGACAATTCTTCCCATCCGATAACGGTCCCTCTCTTCAAACCTCGCAGTATTTTATAGTACGTTCCCTTTAATGCTGGTGCTTAAAGCAAATGTAAAGCACATTTCTTTGGATGGAATGCATTCAGCTTTTCAACAGAGAGAAGAATTCTCTCCCCATGAGGCAAGTCATGTCCATAGACTTGGAGGGTGCATTGATATGTGTGCCTTCATAACCCAGCATGTCTGGTCGTACCCATCCTTCTCCCAGACCAACCCCACTGTCCCGAACTAACACAAAAGCACAATGTGCAGGGAGCTCTAGTGTGTCTTAACCTAGAGGTGAATAAACAAGCATGGGCTCCATAAAGGGAACTGGAGATATTATTGTGCAATTATTCACAGCCAGTCCTTGAGGGCTGCCTTCCTCCTGTGCACGTTGGTACCTTCTACTTGGTTTGGGTATTCGATGTTGCCGTTCGTGTTCTGTGGTACTCTAACATACAGCAGTGGACAAAGGGGCCACTTAATGTTTCAGGTCACCAAGTCATAAGAAAACTCCCACTGGGGAAATGAATCAACATTTGACCACATATTCTTCATGATCGACATAGTAAGTGAATCTGTGGATGCCTTCTGGGTGGCCGGGAGAGACATTTTCTTGTTCCACAGTCTGCCTCTGACTGCCTGGCTTTCCTCTTAGCTGGGTCCTCCTGAGCTTGCCTCCTTGTCCCTGATGGTTGACCTCACCCCCCTGTGTGGCGGTGTCCTAAATGGTGACACCTGATGCCACCGCTTTGTTACTTTTGTACCTTGGTCGTTTTCCTTAACAGTAAGGCACAATTCCCACAGACATCACTATAAGTATACAAGTAGCCTTCCCTGACTTGCATTTGGTAATTTCCAGACTCTGCAATTGACAGCTACTTCAGTGTATGTCAAAAACGGCTGGATATGCACTGCCTGTGTTCAAACTTAACCTGTGAACACCTGTGGTTGCAGCTGGGCACCCTGGGGCTAGAGATGTGCCAATTCCTTCCAGTGAGGCCCCTCATGGAAGGTCTTCCCCCACTAGTCACAGGTGGAACACAGTAAGAATGAGGCCTCCCAGGCCTATTTTCTTCTCTCGTAGGTTACTACCTCTGGCAAGACCACAGCAGTCTGGGGACAGCTTTGTAGCAGTGTTACCGAGTCCCTGAGAGCCGGCAGGCCATGGACTGAGTGGTTTCTGAGGACAGAGCCTCCGGTCGCTGAACAGGCAGAGGCTAAAGAGTCAGCGGATGGACCCTGCTAGTCTGAAGCTTAGACCCAGCTAGACCAAAGGTTCTCTTGAATGGAGAGAAGTGCCCATTTTTACAAAAATCACCACGGAGCAAGAAGCCCTCGTTGCAGCCGCTAATCAGTGTTAAATCTGGTGTCAAACTTGGCAGCAGAAATGTGCTTCTGCCGGAGGAAACAGCAACAGAAATAACATGCAAGCTTAGCGTTTCTCTTTATAATCAGGAATTCTTGAAAATTAGGGATTGTTGTTTCACCCAAGGGTTTAACAGCTGGTTGGGCTATACACAAGTACTCAAAAAAGACTGTTGACGGTAAGATTTAGAATTGCTATAACACTCGCTGCCTGGGAAAAAGAAAAAAAAAAAAAAGTAGCTCTAACATTTGCTTTGATTCAGAAGCACTTTCTCTCTGGGGGCCACTTACCTCTAACAAGACACTATTGATCATGGGGTTAAGGACCTCAGCCTTCTTGTCGCTCTGTGGAATCAAAAGGATGAAATTGACAGATTAGGTGCTCATACTGTAAGGCTTGCCACATCAAATGTCATATGCTGGCTTTGTTGAGGGATCTCTTAAAGAGGAAGGAGAGGAGAAATGGAATGCTTATTATAGACCAGGCTTCACATTTGGTGCTTCTTCTCTATAATCTCATTTAATTTTGACAGAAATCCTAGTAGGTAGGGAGGTACCATGATAACCTTAATTTAGAGATGAGAAACTAGAATCAGGAAGGTTGAGCAACTCGTTTAAGGTCACATAGCTAGAAATTTAAACACAGATGTTTTTAAGTATTGAAAGCTTGTAGCACGTCTGGGATTACAGGGTGGGTGAGTGAGGCTGAGTCATACAAATACAAGGTTGGGTCCTGTCTCTACTGAAAATGTTGATATTTTGTTTATCATGATCTTTTTGCATTCATTTTCATTTTTTAAATTTTACATTAAAATATCTATCTAGATGACTGATGTTGTTTCTTTGTTTTTTGGCAGGGCTGGGGGCAGGGTAAGCTCTTAAATTTTGCGGGTGAGTTAAGTACCTTAGTGGCCCACCCTAGTCCCAGCCCCAGTCAGTAGCCTTATTTTCTTTCTTGTTTTAAATGCAAACATGGGTACTTGGTTCTAGGGTATGTCTTCCAGATCAGTAGCAAAAATAGCACATTTTTAAAAAGATCTTTTTCTTAATTCTTTTTTTATATAAATATTTATTTATTTATTTATTTATTTATTTATTTATTTTAGAGAGAGGGGGAAAGGGAGAGAGCACACTCTCTCTTTCCTGCTGGCAGCAGGGAGGGGCAGAGGGAGAAGACAGAAAATCTGAAAGCCGACTCCCCGCTGAGTGCAGAGCCCAACATGGGGCTCCATCCCAGGACCCTGAGATCATGACCTGAGCTGAAATCAAGAGTCTGACGCTTAAATGAATGAGCCACCCAGACACCCCAAAATTAAATTTAATATCACTTCCAGACAGATCTGCAGATTCCAGTTTGCAAAACATGAATATATGTAAAGCACAGAAATACAGAGCCTGAATTAAGTAGGTGTTCAAAAAGTGAGAGCTAGTGTTAGTATCATTATTATTTCCTCTATAAGTCTATCAATCAACAGTCTTCTCTAAGTGTTCACTTTCCTCTTAGACAATAAATAATTAAAGGGCCTGGAAAGAGAGAGGGCAAGTTTAATAGGCTGGTGTTCCTTATTGTACCCAGAAGACTTTATGGTAAACAAAAGTATATAGATGAAATATATCTTTCCCGAGCAACACATTTTCACTGACACTACTCTACCGAGGGCAAAGTAATGTCTTACTGGGGAAACCACAATGGAGTCTTGGGGAAAAACTCTGAACTTTAAAAACCCAGTCATTTTAGTAACTAACCAGAAAATCCATTATGGCATTTGCTTTCATGTTTATTTGATTATCAATAAACCTCTAAAATATAATCAAAATGAGGGCAATAAAATGACGTTGGTTTCAGAATCAATGAGATGTGCACGCAATCTAAATGGAGTCTGGAGAGCGATATGCACTCATTAACTTCAAGTTATGAATAATGGCTATTTCAGAGAACAGAAACTCGATGTAAATGATTCATCCTAGCACAAGATCAGGGGGACTCCTGTGACGGGACGGCATTTCAGTAAACTCTGTTTAGCTTTAGCTTTTTCTTTCTCCAAAGTGGTAACCCGTGTCTTCTGGGTTTTGTGCACACAAACATTGGTACGCATGTACGATATACGTAAGTGTGCACACAGGTGTAAGTGCAGGTGCACATCCAGTTGCTAAAGCCTTGCTACTCAGAATGTACACTGTGGATCAGCAACACTGTTATTATCTGAGAACTTATTAGATATGCAGAATCTCAGTCCTCATTCCCGGCCTACGGGCTCAGAACCTGCATTTTAACAAGTTCTTCGGGTCATGTGCCTTCACCTTCAGGTGTGGGAAGTACTGTGCTGGAAGACAATAGTTCAAAAGAAATGGGAAGCAATGCCGTGAATATTACCCACGAATGTAAATAAATGGATGTCCAACATAAATCACAGATAACATATAACACACACACCTAAAGACATATACACCCTCATCACTAGATAGCCACAGAGAAACAAACAGTTGGCCATCTGTCTGACGGGCAGCCACCTGGAGGTGAGAGATCAATCGAGAGGCCTGGGGGCATTGGTCACCCCTTCGGGCCTCAATCCCACCTAGTGAACTGGGGACAGAGTGAGAAGAAGGTACAGAGAGCCTTGGGGAGCTGGGTGGCGGAGGCCATCTCATCCTGATTAAGACCTCACACATCTCTGTAAGCCTGGCAGTTACACCACAGTCCCCGGGTGTCTGTTACTCAGACAACACTGAGCACACATATGCGTTTTATCAAACCTATCGTATCAATGAACTTCTCTCTCCCCCTTCACTCTTCCTACACAGTGAAGCTCTTACTGCGGAAGCCCCTAAATTATACAAGTGTGAAAGCTCATGCTTTGCAAAATAGGAGAAGCAAACCAGATTCCTTGACAACAGAATGAATAGGTGGTAGGTAGTTCAGCCCTAATTTGTCAAGTCACTTCTCTGCTGACTGGTCTATAATCATTTCCACTTCTTTTGAGAACTGCCCTTGGCCTTGGCAGGGAGGGGGGTGGGGAAAGTGCACCCCAACAGCCAGGTAGGTCTGCATGATGTGATCCTGCCCCGGTCACTACAGGTGATACCAGGTGGACATGTCACCCGCACTGATGAGCCTTGCAGCCTTCTCACTCATGAACCCCCAATCTGAATGGAAAGACACGGGGTCGGGAAGGGCTACAACTCAGTCACATGAATGGCAACACTTTGGAGAGAGAGGGTATTTGTATCCTGGTGCTGGGTCCCCACAGCTGCTCACATTGCTCCACCTCCTTTAATAAAGTCCCTTCTCTGGGTCGATTATGTAGAGCTTGTTTCTGTTCCTTCCTGTTAAAGGCTGAATTGAGTCCTCGCAGAAAAGAGATAGTGCAGTCCTAACCTCCAGGGCATGGGAATGTGCCCTTACTGGGAGACAGGGTGATCGCAGATGTCCTGAGTCAAGATGACGTCACACCGGTCATACCAGAATCCCATACAAATGGTGTCCCTATCAGAAGAGAGAAATCTGGACACAGGCACAGAGGGAGGATGATGTGAAGACAGAGAAAGAGCTTGCAGTTAGGCTGCCCTGAGCCAAAGAATGCCTGGAGCCACGGCAGTTGGCAGAGGCTCCTTGAGAGAGCGTGTGCCTCTGACACCCTGCCTTCAGCCTGCCCGCCTCCGGAACCCGGACGTGACATAGCTCGCGGTACCCGAAAAACAGGCCCCGACAAGCACAGGAAATCGAACGCGCTCTTCCTCATGGCAAGATCTGCCCTTGAGTTCAGGGCCTTAAAAGAAACAGTAGAAAGGTTAAAAAGGAATAGTTTCCACTTGTCTTCCTGATGCCACTAAGGTGGGGTTATATAATGTGACTGGTCTCTGAAGAAAATAACCAGAAGCCACACCTCCGAACAAACACCGAACCTTTCAAAGTTGTTCCCTTGAGAACAGAAACACTTAACGCGAATTGGTAAGATTTTTTTTCTTTTGGTTACAGTTGAAGTGTAATAATAAAGTAAAGAAACCTCTCACCTTGGGTGGTGTATATACGACAGGTTCTGAGGGCAACAGTGAGTGCGGGTATTCAAAATTATTTTAATAGAGATTCTTGAATTATAGGTCACAGATATTAATTAATGAAAGGAACTTCCATTTGACTTCTATTTATTTATTTGAGAGAGAGAGAGAGAGCAGGAGCTGGGCAGCGGGGAGGGGCAGAGGGAGACCGAGAAGCAGACTCTCCGCTGAGCAGGGAGCCTGACTCGAGACTCCATCCCAGGACCCCGGGATCATGACCTGAGTCAAAGGTGGATGCTCAACCAACTGAGGTGTCTTTCACTTCTTTTTAAACGAATAAAGAAAATGAGGCCCAGAGATGTTTCAAAACCCACCTAATATCTTGTAAGTCGGAGATGGCAGTGTCAGGGGACTAGAACCCAGTCGGGTGAGAGCCTGAGGCTGCCTGCCCTGACAAGGTGCTCCTGGTCTGGTTTCAGCAGACGTCATGGTGCAGCTTCCGTTTATGGAGCTACCAGAGAAGGCACTGCAACCTGCATTTCTCCCCACACTTCCTCACAGACCCGTCTTCCATAAAGGGTGGAAAAAAGAATCGATATTAGAAACTTACCCCAACAGTGGTTAAAGAATTCGTAAACTTCTTTGATAAGGAGGCCACCTCTTTACACATCGCAGTAGTTAATCTGAAAGAAAAAAAAAGTGGTTTGGGGATTTTCCATCAGATAAAATAATTTAACCATCAAGACAATGACTGGTATTGATACCGTATTCCATTTAAAAGAACACACACAAGTTTGAAGATGCTCTATAGAAATGGGTTCCTCAACAATCTTCCATGATTCACAATCACCGTGGAATTGAATCCCGGTTTTCTCTGCAGGCGTAGTTAATGAATAATCACCTAATTCATCCTACTTCTTTTTAGAATCAAAAGCATATGCAGGAAAATTTGAGGCTTGAGCTCCATATGTTTAGAGGTATAAGCCTCTTGCCAAGTGGCTTTTCTCTAGCTTTCTGGTCATTTTGAAATAATAATGAGCATTCACTGAGGTACTATGTTAAGTACTTTATTTTTTTTTAAAGATTTTATTTATTTATTTGACAGAGAGAGAGAAAAAGTGTACAAGCAGGGGAAGTAGCAGAGGGAGAGGGAGAAGCAGGCTCCCCGCTGAGCAGGGAGCTGGACATGGGGCTCGATCCCAGCACCCCGGGATCATGACCTGAGCCGAAGGCAGATGCTTAACTACTGAGCCACCCAGGTGCCCCGTTAAGTACCTTTATATGAGTAATCATATTTAATCCTCAGAGTGACCTTATGGATTACGTTAATATCCCCATTTTATAGATGATAAAACTGGCACTTAAAAAGGTTAAGCAACTTTTTTTTTTTTAAGTAGGCCCCATGCCCAACATGGGCCTTGAACTCATGACCCCGAGATCCAGTCGCCAGCCAGTGCCCTAAGAAGGTTAAATAACTTGCTTGGGGCATGCTGGGATAGAGCTGGGATTCAAACTCAGGCGTCTCTTGGTTTCCTGATTATGTTTTTTATTAGATGCCTCATAATAAAGATCCTATAAAATCTGTTAAGACTTATATCAAAACTCCAAGTTCATTCTAGCCATTTGACTTGTAAGGAGTTTCCCCAAGAAAATAATGCAAGACAGGCGCAATATTTAACAAACATTGCTTTGATGACAAAAACCGAAAACAACCCAGTTAACGTAACGATGTGAGTATTATCTGTTTTCTTTTATAATTCATATATATGACTTTTACGAATAGTGGTTAAAATGCTATTAGAAAAACAATAACTCCAAGTCAAGAATCTTACATGTTAAAATATCTAGTGAAATCAGTAGAGGTAAGCTTTATTGTGATAAATAGGGGTTCTAAGTTATGTATGTATTTGTTGAGCTCTCTCTGTCCACCATTCCTTCCATCCATCTATCCATCCATCCATCTATCCTTCCAAAACTTATCTGCAGAAAGGGTCAGGAATAAGGTCCAGGGATAGCCCAGAGCATTTTGTCTATGTCCTTGGGCAGGTGGGTGGAAAGGCACTTATTATACAGACAGATATGAAGTCTTGTTACCTTTTGCTTGGTGCAGCTTGGCAAGGTTGGGGTAATCTGGACTGGGAATCAGAGGTGCTGAGAGTAAGGTCCTGCTATACATACTTAGGGACTTCCGAACACCCTCCCTTTACAAACAAGTACCGCAAATATAAAAGAGCACTTAGATGTTTTAAAGTTTTCCTACTTTTTCCGTTCCTCTTGCTTTTATACATTAAGGTAAGTACATATTTTTCCTAACTCTATTAAGTGCAGGTTTGTGTGGTTCTTATAGTATCTTTCATTTTCCCATGTTTAGGTAGGAAAATCTAGACTAGATGACACATCCTTACAAGTGAGGAGAAATGCTACCAGTAGTACAAAGATGCTAATATTGACTTTTTGGAAGGTTCTTCGATGAAACATCTGCTCCCCAACCTACGATGCCAAATGCAGTAATAGGCAAAGACTAGTTAGCTAGCAAAGTGAATGGGTGCGTTGCAATGTGTGTGTGTGTGTGTGTACCCATATATTTTTAGGAGGCTCTATTTTGTCTCCTGTGTCTGTGTAGTAATGAGAAGGTGTTCGGATCTGTGCTAATTTTCTATACCACGCATAAAGCCATGTGGGTAAAGTTAATGGCTTGTTTTTCAGCTCCATACCAACTATTTTAATATATGTTCCATACAGACTATTTTCACGTACATAAAGTTACATCGATACACATTTTTATTTTACTGGATAAACTAATAATAGTGGGTACTATTTGTTGAAGAAGATAACATATGACAGCACATATGCACATACATGCAATCCACAGGGAACTGGCTTACATCACCAACCATCACTGCCAGTATTCAGAATACGCAGAGATTTGTGCTGGTTTAAGTCCCTAGGAACAGCAGGGGTGTGTTGGAATATCTTTGTGAAGCTGGCTGAGAAGTCGCATAAAGATGTTCTTTCTCTATTCTTGTGGTACGTTAAAAACGCAATTACCTTAAAAATCTGTACTTCTAAGACTTCGATCTATGAAAATAAACACCCGTGAACGATTTAGTGTGTCTTTCCTTAAATCTCTTCATAAATAATTCCTAGTTAACTATTATTATTCTTGCTAACATGATTCGGCTAAGAATCTTATGAGTCCTAAGAGAGTCTATTTCCTAAGATGACCACAGAACAATGGAATTAGTTGACTTGTAATTTAAATCTTTAGTAGCCTACGGGGTGTGTGTGTGCACGTGCGTGCATCCGAATGGCACATATACGTAAAACCTGAAACATAAGAATTAAAAGTAACGTTTACTTTATCAGAACTCTTGCTTGGTCCTGAGCTGGTTTTTCCTCTTCTTGCCCATGAAGAATTAATTCTGCTACTTTATGAAGCTGCTCTATACAGCGTGCTGTTACTTCTGCCAGACGTTCGATGGACAGCATATATACTTCCTGAAACAGATGAATGCAAGTAAGACAATTATTAACTGAGCAGAAGCTTTTTAAAAAACCCTGTGATGTGGGGTGCCTGGCTGGCTCAGTCCATAGAGCATGTGACTCTTGATCTTGGAGTCGTGCGTTGGGGGTAGAGTTTACTTAACACCACCACCACCACCACCCTATAATGTCAAAATAAATTATATAATTCTTAAAAAAAAAAGGCCTGAAAAGTTTACCCAAAGATTAATGGGCATATCTGAGACTCTTCTAAGTAGAAATGCTGCCATAAAAAGGAAGTGTTGCCAAGTCCCCAGGGACATGGCAAACCTTACAGCTGTGTCCCTAGTTCTCAGGGCAATTCTGGGCACACACCAGGCAGGGGTTCAAAAATGCTTGTGGAAAGGCAACTGAATAAATAAACCTCAATGGCTATTTCTCTTTACAGTGACTGAGTTTAAAAAGTTACTTTCTTGGGCGTCTGGGTGGCTCAGTCGGTTTAGCATCCAACTCTTGGTTTCGGATCAGGTCACAATCTTGCAGTTGTGGGATCGAGCCCCTCATCGGGCCCTGCACTCAGCTCAGAGTCTGCTTCAGATTCTCTCTCCCTCCTCCCTCCCATCAGCCTCTTTCCCTCACAAATAAATAAAATCTTAAAGAAAAAAAAAGTTACTTTCTCTAAAATGAAAATTCAGTGTAAAAAATGAAGTTATGGCAAACTCATTTTTGAACACAGGCAGGCTATAAATTATGCACACATAAATTTATTAAACTACAGAATAAAAACTGTGGCCGGGAAAATTTTTTTGGAAAAAAGCTTCAATTACCTCATTAGTTTATGGGGCATAAAGACATTTTATAGTTACAAATTTGCATATCAGATGGAATTTTATCCTAATGATAAATCAACAATGTTCTTAAAGATCTTTTTTCCTTTAAATTATCATCATAAAGCTCTGGAGAAAAACGACAATATCTATGCTAAGTCGCGAATTGTCCTGGCATTGAAAAATTTTAGTATTTGTCACATTAATCTTCATATTTCTGTGCTGTTAAAACGGCGCAAATGAAAATGAATTGGTTTCTCCTCACTCGAAATTGAGCTGCTAATAAAATTAAAGTCCTATTACTGCTCCTCAGGTGGCCAACCTGAATTTATTAAATAAATACATTTACCTCAACTGTCTTAGTTCTCCTTTCTTCCTTCTTGTCTCCTACGGGATTTTCTGGTTTCTCTTCCTTTTCTTCCTCTGTAGTGTTCTCCAACTCTTCCGCCATATTTATGGACAACGTAGTCTGATCTTCTTCTACCCAGTCATGAGCTTTCTTCATGGCCTGTGAAGCGCCCCCCACCCGGCCCAACCAAAGCAACGCTTTTGTTATTCAAATCTGGAGACTAAGACATTCCAATCCCAAGACTAGAATAACGTTGCCCTCCACCTTCCCGGGTGGTTCTCTCTGCATTCAAAACATTGATGGGTAATTCCTCAGTCTCCTTAAAAACACCTTGTTGGTGCTTTCTGGTGAATATAAAGTAAGGCAAGGGGCCAGAACAGAAAGGAAGGATGGAGAGAACACTGCAGGACGTTTTTAAAGAGCACTGTAAAATGATACACGGGTAAGAATGAAAATGACAGTCACCTTGAAAGAGTGATAGTATATTTTTCACTTTTCATGACCAACTATAAGAGAATAACAGTACTTTTTATATATATATAGGCGAGAGATTTAGCCAGGGTCATTGCTAAAGCAAATTTCCTCATTTGATATGTCTCATGAAGCCCTTAATGTTTCATGAACCTAATAACGTATGACGCAGGGAGGATGAAGGATGGCTCAGCTCTTGCCCAGTCACACCAGGGGAGGATGGGAGCTGTTGTTGAAGATCCGGGGCTGCTCTGTGACTAGTTTAATTTCACATGAGTGCAGGTGGAGCAACCTGTGGCCGGAAAGAATTATGGCTAACTTGACCAAGCAGAACGACCTCCCTTCCCTACCTGTTATTCCCTGAATTTAGAAAGGGCAGCCTCACCCAGCTTTTATCATTATAGTTTAAAAGCTGTTTGCTTAAGTGCAAGTTGTATCTGGGTTTATGTTAAACTTGCTTCTCCTTTTAAAGCTCACCTGACTTTGTCAATAAGCCAGTGGGACCTTGGAGGCACCCCCCACACATACACACTCTCTCTCTCTCTCTCCCTAAGCAGGGGCAGGTGCTACACAGAGATGAATGAGGCAATTTCCCACTGTGTTCGAGTCACTGACCTGTCAGGATCGCTGACCTCTATCTGAGATAAAGAAATTACTCACATCTCCCCCTCACTGCTTCAACCTGTCCTTTCCTCACCCACCTTGATAAGTGAGGGCCTGCGTTCCCTACTGCTTGCTAAAGAGAAGGGGGAGAAAAAGAGAGTGAGCGAATGGGAAAAATAACACAGTTTTAAGTAATTAATCATGAGTGTCCTCATTAAGAAACTCCACAGCAAGACCTTATACTAACTTGCAAAACATAGAGTTAGAAGAAGCCAGAGTGATAAAGCTGGATCGTTCTTGGACACCATGTGGCACCGGCATTCGGGGTGGGTGGGGGGAGGTGCGTGGCTGACTGGGCTGACGGGCTTCTCTCTGCCTGATTCCGGCACATCGCCCCAGCGGGGGTAGGGGAGATGGAATTTGAAAAAGCCCTTTGGTGATTCTGCACCCCTTGGCCTTCCCCTGTGCGGAAGGTACCCACTGCTCCGATATACAGTTCTGTCTTGAGGAGAAGTGACTTGATCAAGGTCACAGGGTAATTACTAGTTAAGTTGCAACTAAAATGCAGGTCTTAGCATGGCACAGTCTTGCATGTTCTCTCCCAACACATTTCATCGTGTGGCCTCCTGGGAGCTTAATTACCGGCCTCACACTCTCCTCCCCTCATGTGCCATTTGGGGCTTGGGGTTTTTCCATTTCAGGTGGATCACTTGAATTTTACAACCAATACCTTTAAAAAGAACAGCAACAATAAAAACTCCGACATAGACAGCGCTGACCTTATTGAGTTTGTCAGGCGTGGCTGCAACATGTAATTCAAAGAGAAGTTCTGTAAGCATGCTAGCAAATTCTTCTCCCTTTTCTTCTAAGGCTGGAAATAGAAAATGACAGAAGTAAGAAGCATGATTTATTTTTCGTCCTTCAAAATGTGGCAGCTCCCCTGACCTTACAGCCTGCAGTCAGAGTCAAAGTGGGGGGGCTGCAGCAGCCCCCCACTCCCCAACCCCTGGCTTACAAGCACGACAGTCAGGCAACCAGCTGCTGCTGTGTGAGGGGCTGCCCAAGCCTTGTTGCTCGAAGTTCTAGCTGGGGTGCCCCCAGGCTGGCCTGAAGGCAACATGAGGACAGGGAGGGACGTATCTGTCTTGCTCACAACTATAGGTGATCAGTAGCTATTTGTTGAAAGGAGCGACTGAATGAACAAATGAATGCTGTATCTCAGGTCTAGAAGACCTGGACAACACTGTATTTATGACCTGGAGTATTGTTGTGCTTAGCATTGCAACCCTAATAATACCCAGGACACCCTTTTATGTCCACAGAGCCACCGTGCTAAGCAAGCAGAACTGGTCTCCATGGGCCATACACTATCCGATGTAACGACACTGTATCTCTGGAGAGATGTCCCAAGGTTTCCAAGGACACCTATTGGTCCTATAATACTTCTTAATATTCTTCGTTCCAGAATGGGAGCTACCTAAGGACAGACATGCTATTTGTTTCTACTCATTCCTGATTCCAGAGTATCTAAGACAGTGCCTGGAACATAAGTGTTTAATAAATACTTAGTATTTATTAATAAATATTATTTATTTATTGTATTTATTAAATAAGTATTTATTAGTTTGTTGATAAATTATGTCTTATAGAATAATATATATATCACATGTATCATGTTATGCATAATATATCCTCAAATAAAAATAAACATATCATTGGTGGGCAATAAAGAGAGATTTTTAAAAGTTACAATCTTCTTTTTCTCATTTATATCTATGGGTTGAAACCATTTTAAAGTTTCTAAGTGCTAAAGAATTGATTCCACAATGGGTTTACCACCAGTTTGGGGAGGAATAAAAGCATCATTAATCTGCCCTGATTACACCATCTGAAAATACTCTGGCTTACGTCAGTGGGTGAAGGCAGTAGCTTCAGGGAAAACTAAGCCATGTGAGAAAAACTGTATTTAACACTTGTGTGTATGTGCCCTTTCCTGTTTTACAGACAAAATGGCTAATTAGCAGCTCGTGAAGATAGCCAGGGTAACCTGTAGGTGTTCACAATATTTGGCTTCATCATTTTATTATCACCTAGAATCTACATATTCTCAGGGGAGAGACAGATTAATAAACAGATTAGAGAAGTTAAACATATATGTCGGATGATGAGTTTTATGGAGAAGTATAAACCAAGGCAGAGGCACAGGGCCGGCTGGGGGTCGGGGAGCAAGAGGGTAACTGACAAGGAGCCATTTGAGTAATGACCTGAAGGAGGAGAGGGGTGAGCAACACCAGATCGGGTGCAGGAAGAGATGTCCAGCCAACGCAGAGTCCGGGAGGGAATGTGCCCGGCTTGCTCAGGGACAGCAGGGAGGCAGCGTGGTCGCAGCAGGGGCAGGGAGGTGTGTGCCTATAACCCAAAGAGGTAAGTGCGCTGAGTGAGGAGGCTTTTGCAGTACCTAATCTTGTCCTCAGAGGGGTGTTGAGAAGGCTTCCTGGAGGAGGTGATACCTGAACCTAGCCTAGCTAATGCCTACTTGCATGAAAGGGGAGATGGAGAGCTAGAGAGTCAGAGAGAAAGAGAGAGAGACAAAGTTGAGATTCTCTCTCTGCTGGGCAGAGGTCTTGGTCTTATCCTCTCTAGGTGGGCAAAGTAAGAGGGGGTAGGGACACATCTGGGCGGCATCGACAAGGTCTTGTTCCCAAATTACCTGGTCCTTCTTATTTTGTATGTGGCAGTGTTGCAGGGCAGAAAGAGCCCCGGACTTAGTTGTGGCAGGTGTGGGTTTTACCCCAGCTCCTGCATTCAGAGAATCTGTGGCCTGGGGCTAGTCATGGGTCTTCTTAGCTTCCATGCTCTCCTGTAATTTAGGATAATAAAACCCACCCGTTGGGGCACCTGGGTGGCTCAGTTGGTTAAGCAACTGCCTTCGGCTTGGGTCATGATCCCAGGGTCCTGGGATCCAGCCCTAAATCTCACTCCCTGCTCAGCAGGGAGCCTGCTTCTCCCTCTCCCTCTGCCCTTCCCACCCTGCTTGTGCCCTTATTCAAATAAATAAAATCTTTAAAAAATAAAATAAAAACCACCATTTCAGCTGTAGCGTTGCTGTAAGGATCAAATAATATAACAAATGTAAAAGTGTTTTGTAAACACTAAAGTTTTATCTAACTATACTGTTATGGGCTACAAAGATATAGCCATAGGGAGATTAAAAGTATCTGGGAATCATCACTCCTAAATTAGGATATAAGTACTTTGTGTAGCTCCAGTTTTTATTTTTTATTTTTTATTTTTAAAAGATTTTATTTATTTATTTGACAGAGAGATAGAGCCAGGGAGCACAAGTGGAGGGAATGGGGGAGGCAGAGGGAGAAGCAGGCTTCCCACAGAGCAGGGAGCCCAGTGTGGGACTCGATCCTGGGACCCCGGGACCATGACCTGAGCCGAAGGCAGACGCTTAACCAATTGAGCCACCCAGGCACCCCTAGCTTCAGCTTTTAAATGTGCATTTGTTCTAGAAAACAGAAAAGGACACCAATAACTTTTAGCACATATTTTAGGGGAAAAAAGTCACAAAAAAATGGAAGCGGATAAAAACAGATGATAAATAATGTTGCCACAAAGAATACCTATTACGACAGCGCTTGGTTCGTACATATGGTCCAGATCTTCACCAAGGCAATTCAAATAGAAAATAGCCTTTTAAAACCCCTTCACTACAGTGGTAAACCAAATTAGAGACCCATGGCAGTGTGATAAAATTACACGCCGCTGGAAAGACAAACATGCAAATCATTAGCTAACGCTATCAAATGCAGAGGAGCCCAAGGTTGAGTTTATCTAAAAATGACTGTTACATTTTTCCAAGACTTGCAAATGAATTACTTAGGTGTTAAGAGGCTTTTAGGAATGTAAATGCTTACAAGAAAAAAAAAATGGATGAAATGCTCTGGTTTCTCCCAGTTTTCCTCCTGGCTTCTCTGCTCACCCCCACTGATGAGATTCCTCTTTATAGCATTTAGATAATCCCTCCACTTCTATGGAGTTGTCATGCTCCATCACAATTGGATTGATTTAATGACAACCCTGCTATTTTCTCCCAGTTTTTCTTTACGTGTTTGACATTTATTTATTAAATTAATTCAAATTAATAGTGTTTTGATAATCTGGAGATGCCCTATGGGAAAATGGATATGTTATGGGAGATAACAGGGTTCTGTCACTTAAGGAGAGACAAATCTACTATTTCTTAAGCATGCAGCTCAGGACTTCATATATATATATTTTTTGGTCATATGAAAAAAAAATCCCAGTTTACTGAAGTTCTATATTAAGACTGGAACACATCGTATGTAGTAACATTTTCCATTTGATAGTATTGAATCAAGGTTCCTCTCTAAGAAATTGTGCTAGTTGGGGATGCATACTGCTTTAACTTGCACTGGCAACACTACTGCTTTGATGTTAGGAGGAATCTGGGATCTTCTTTTTATCCTTTCTGAATGATACACCCTGTAGGATCAAGGTCTACCTTTGGCATCATGAAACCAAAGAGAAATAACCTGGATCTTTTTGGGCGATCGTTACTCTGGAAATTGGTTCATCTTGGGCTCATAATACTACCTGTATGAACTCTGACAGCTGGTGTCTTAGTTTCTCATTATTAAAACAGAGACAAGGCTGTCCTCCTTCATGACTCTTGCAGAAACACACAAATGCTCAAAAACATCGTTCTCCAATAGCCTCTTTGCTATTGGCCTCTTTCTATTCTTCAGTATAAATTGAGTCTTCTATTTTGATGCAATGAGCATAAATCTCATTAAACTGAAGGCACATAAGGTCAGTATGGGTGATAAAGCAGGAGATGGTATTTAAATAACAGTTTGCAAATGCCTAGAATAATTTTGCCCTGGGCATTGAGGCTGAAGCACTTGGCCCTCGTGTTTGAGCTTTGATTAAAGGTATGCAGCACACCTGGGCAGAAAACACTTCCAGCTACTCGATGGGATGAATGTGCATGATCACTACTCTGTGTGTGGGTGATAACAAGTACAATCATAAATAAAAGCTACAGTTTATTGTACCTTTACTATTTCCCCAGCATTGTTTTAGTACTTTAACAATACCGGAGAACATTCTTGAGCAGTTCTGTGTGCCAAGCTCTGTAAAATATATCTTTACATACATTATCTAATTTGAGCCTCACAAATAGCCCTTGGAGATATGTATCCGTGTCTCCATTTTACAGGTGTAGATAATGAGTTTCAGAAAGGTTATATAACTTGTTCTGGGCCATGCAGCCAGCTAGTGGTGAAAATGTTTCAAATGGACCTTTGAGATAGGAGAAGCCAGCCTTGTGTGTCAGCATCACCCGAACAACGGTGGTTGCACGGCTACGTGATGATATCGGTAAGAAATCACTCTCCATGTACAACAGCAAATGTTTTGCTATATTCTGCTCCTAATTAATGGGCAACATAAAGTGACTCTTTTAATTGCCCTCGATATTTTTTCTTAAATATTTTATTTATTTGAGAGTGAGGGAACAAATTGGGGGGAGGGGCAGAGGGAGAAGGAGAAGCAGACTCCCCACTGAGCAGGGAGCCCACATGGGGCTCCATCCCAGGACCTCGGGATCATGACCTGAGCTGAAGGCAGACGCTTAGCCAACTGAGCCACCTAGGTGCCCCTAAAGTAATCCGTAAGCATGTCTCACTTTGAAAACTCTTTTTTCCCCTCTCAGGGAAGACTTGCTTCGCACAAAACAGGTCCTCATCTCCTTGGGGGTCCTGTCTTTGGCTGGCTGGAGGATTATCAGGAGCGTGCACCTGGCTCAGTTCAGTGATTGACAACCTGACACATCCTCCCTCTCCCCGATTGCACTTTCTAGATGGAGGGCAGGCCACTTACAAATACACCTTAACTCCTAAGCGTATAAATTAAATATAATAAGAAAAATATGAAGAGAAATCCATTGAGAGACCTGTCCACCGCATGCAGATAAACAATTAAGATACCAGGGCATGAACTCTAGTCATCAGGGCCGTGCTGAGCGCACTGTGTTCTTGGCTCCTTTGCACATCCGTGTTTCTTGCTCGCCCCTCACAGGGGCGCCTGGGTGGCTCAGTCGTCAAGCGTTTGCCTTCGGCTCAGGTCATGATCCCAGGGTTCTGGGATCGAGCCCCGCATCGGGCTCCCCGCTCAGCGGGAAGCCTGCTTCTCCCTCTCCCACTCCCCCTGCTTGTGTTCCCTCTCTCGCTGTGTCTCTGTCAAATAAATAAAATCTTAAAAAAAAAAAATGCCTCCCGCAGGAGTGCCCACCCGGAGAGAGGACTATAGATCACTGTGGTCAGCTCCTGTCATGAGAGCAGGTGCACAGAGTGTTTTGGAAGTGAGGAGGAGGAGCTCTTGAATGAAATAATTCCCCATTCAAAGGGCTGTCTGTAATAACCGCTTGTTTTGCTCTTTAACTGATGATTTTCCTTTACCTTGTTCTTCTTGATTCTCTTCATTCTCGAATTCTTTGGCTGCAAAGATGTCTTTAATGGAAATCAGGTCGTTTTTTAAGAGTTCCAGCTTCTCTCCGTCGAGTGATACTAAAAATGACTGAACCTGAAAAAAGAAATGGGTCACACAACTGTCATCTTTTCCCGTTAATCACGTTTATGTACAGCTGTCGCCAGGGCTCCCAGGACTGAGGTGATTTGGTGGTGCGGGGGGCAAGGCCGGGATGAACGCTGGACTTACTGCCTACGAACTGTGCGACTTTGGGTGAGTTACAGAAGAAGCTCCCTGGGCCTCAGTTTTTTAAATTTTGAAGTGAGACCCACACTTCATTGTGATCCTTTGTGAGGTAAATGAAACAGCAAAGTAACTACACAGGTGCAAACAGCAGAAGCTAAATGAGTCGTGGCGGTAGCCCTTCTAGCCTCGTGGGCAAAAACACAGGTGCTGTCAACTCTGAATTCTATGAGCCCCTCACTGATGAATTGTGTGCCCCTGGGAAAATGAGGGCGAATAGCATCTACCGTGTAAGGTTATTTTGAGGGTTCAATTAAATAATATACTTAAAAGTACTTGTAGGGGCGCCTGGCCAGCTCTGGCAGAAGAACATGAGATCTCGATCTTGGGGTCGTAAGTTCGAGCCCCACGGTGGGTGTAGAGATTATTTAAAAAAATAAACTTAAAAAAAGTGTAATGAAGGTCAAGAAATTACATATATATTATGTATGTTAACATATATAAGAATATTAATATATATAATACATATACACATAAGCCCATAAAGAAGTGTTTTACACATACAGATATACATATATACTTGCTAGATGTGGGTTATTGAACCGGGGTTACAAAAACACACGAGATGCGTTTTTCTCAGAGATGTTGCAGGCTGGAGGAGGGAGGCCCAGGTTGATGGCTAACAGCCATGACAGGTGTGAAGAGAGTGGCAGTGGGGCACCAGGGAGGGAACTTCAGTCCCCCTTAGGGAGGCAAGAGGGTGGGCGGGGAGAGCTCACAGAGGATGATGCTTGAACTGATATCCTCCCTGCTCATTGTCTTCAGAGGCCCTCTTTTGAACCTGTCCTGGGTAAACACTTGAAAATTGCCTGCACACATGGCCAGTCATCCTCTGCAAATCTGAAGACTGATTTGAATTTCCAAAATGGCCAAAGTGCATGGAGAACCATGTAAAAAATGAAGTAGGGGGGAGGTGGGTGGGGGGATGGGGTAACTGGGCAATGGGCATGAAGGAGCGCACGTGATGTGATGAGCACTGGGTGTTATATGCAACTGATGAATTACTGACCTCTACATCTGAAACTAATGATGTACTATAGGTTGGCTAATTGAATTTAAAAAAGAAAGAGACGGGCCACCTGGGTGGCTCAGCTGTTAAGCGTCTGCCTTCGGCTCAGGTCATGATCCCAGGGTCCTGGGATCGAGCTGAGCTCCGCATCGGGCTCCCTGCTCAGTGGGAAGCCTGCTTCTCCCTCTCCCACTCCCCCTGCTTGTGTTCCTGCTCTTGCTAATTCTCTGTCAAATGAATAAATAAAATCTTTAAAAAAAAAGAAAAGAAAAAATAATAAAATATAGGCCGAAAGTAGAGTGCGACATAATGGAAGCTACTCAATCACTATTGTTAAATAAATGAGCGAATGGTTTCTTTTCTGGAAAAAAAAAATGAAGTAAGGATATAAAGTAGTAAGGTTTTCATGTTTTCAGTCTGCAGGTCAAACACTTGCTCTGGAGGGAAAGCCCCTAGAAGCGCCACAATGCCTTTATGAATGTGTTTTAATATTCATTATGGTAGTAGATTCACATGCCAGGATAAGTGAGAGTCAGAGCGAGCATCAGGGATGCCAGGGCACCATTTTCCTAAAAATCATAATGCATATCACCAGGGTATAATGCAATTGGCAAGGAGGCTGGGGAGAAGCTCAGCAGGAAGTCATGAACACAAAACTCATTAGCTAGAGAGTTCGGCAGGTGGAAGGAAATGCACCCTGCATGATGGCTGCCAGCACGCCTTTTTGCTCTAACCTTTTCAGAGCCTTTTTTCCAGCTCATACACTCATGACTAGGCCTCAGGGTCCTAGACAGACCCACAGCAGATTCCTACACTTTAGATATATCTTCTAAACAGTTTTCTAAGAGTAAAATTAAAAGGTAATTATTGAATCCATGGGCTTGAGCACAACGCGAGTGAAAATGTATACACACGTGTGAGACATTATGGTTTCCCCATGGCTCCTGGAGGGTAGCCAGCCTCTGGGAGGGAAGGCACTGGGTTTTATGCTTTGGGTATAAAGCATGCTTTTGCTTCCTCCTAGTTCTTTCCATTATGCCAAGGTGATGAGCAATGAATCTTTACTTCAATCTAGTAATAAATAATCATGCACTCCTCAATAAATATTCATAGAATGCTGACTATATGCTTGGCACTGTGCAAAGTGTTGTTGGAAACACAAGGGTAGACAGTCTGCCTTGTCAATCTTTTTCCTGAAAGGGAGTGTGGGGTGCATTTTGAAGATTCTTGTTTACTGTTTTTGTTAGCTATTGAGTATAATAGCAATAAAAATTATCAGGTTTTTTTCTTAAGATTTATAGTATACCACGTTGCCATGCCTGTTGCCATCCTAGAATCCATCTAATAGAATAGTCATGATAGTAATTCCTTATATTTCTGTGCAATGTGTCAAAGTTTTAGCCAACGAAATGTCAACAGAGGTGATGTGTATCATTTCTGGGTCAAAGCTCTTAAAAAATGGGAGTGGGGGCACCTGGGTGGTGCATCGGTTGAGCGTCCGATTCTTGGTTTTGGCTTAGGTCATGATCTCAGGGTCGTGAAATCGAGCCCCATGACAGGCTCCGTGAGTGGGGAGCTTGCTTGGGGTTCTCACTTCCTCTCCCTCTGCCCTTCCTGCTCATGCTCTTTCTCTCTAAAAATAAATATTTTTCTAAAAATGGGAGTGTACGCTCTACACTCTCTGTCTTTATGCTGGTAGCATAAAGACGACAAGGAGGCCCTAGAGGATGGTGACAGCCAATACTCAGACCCAGGGGAGTCCACAGGGCCAAAGGGGTGTGCCCACACAGAGCCCACACTCCCCCTTCCAGACCACTCTCTAGGTACTAAAGTTACTAAAGTTTCCCTTCCACAGCCTGTATGGATCTCTTATCCAGGCTGTGCTCCTTGTGCTGGGACCATCCACCTCTTAGCTGTTTGGAGGGCAGCAGGTACAGCTTGAACCAGGGCACGCTCACATGTGCACAGAAAGCTTCTTGAAGGGAGAGATAGCTGGAAATAAACGGACGAGAGCAGGCAGGCGGGTGGTGGGACCCGGGAGGGATTTGAGAATTCTGAATGGGAACCTGGTTTTCAAAGTTGTTATAAAAGTATGTTTGTTGAGGTAGGATGACAGAATATATTTTCTTCAACAGTTTGTTTCAAAAGTCCTTTAACTTTTTTTTTTTGAGATTTTATTTATTTGACAGCACATGAGCATAAGCAGGGGGAGTGGGAGAGGGAGAAGCAGGCTCCCCGCCGAGCTGGGAGCCCAACGTGGGGCTCGATCGCAGGACCCCAGGATCACGACCTGAGTCGAAGGCAGACGCTTAACTGACTGAGCCACCCAAGTGCCCCAAAAGTCCTTTAACTTTTAAATATTTGGTATGTATACGAGGTCTAGTTAAATTTGAATTCTAAATAAATAATATTTTCTTAGTATGAGGGTATGTCCCAAATATTGCACAGGACATATTTATACTAAAAAAGTATCCATTGTTTATCAAAAGTTGAAGTTTCACTTGTCATCCTGTGTTTTCATTTGCTAAATCTGACATTTGTATTCTTGCCAGAGGCCTGTGAACATCAGGATGGGTCTAGTGGAGCCCTAAGATGGACAGAGTCTGGCCGCTGAATCCCTAAAGCAGGAAAGCTGCCTGATGACCAGGCACTCCCATCTTGGACTATTATACAAATGAGGACAACTCCTACTGATTTTGACCCATATGTTTTTAGGATTTGTTTATTACAGCACCCAGTAACTATCGATACTAATCCATGAAAACATTCTGCATTCCTTACCCTGAATACTACTATAAAAATCTCTAGGCGGGGCGGGGGGGGGGGGACGACGGCGCACCTGGGTGGCTCAGTCGTTAAGCGGCTGCCTTCGGCTCAGGTCATGATCCCAGGATCCTGGGATCGAGCCCCCCCATCGGGCTCCCTGCTCGGCGGGAAGCCTGCTTCTCCCTCTCCCACTCCCCCTGCTTGTGTTCCCTCTCTCGCTGTGTCCTCTGTCAAGTAAATAAATAAAATCTTAAAAAAAAAAAAATCTCTAGGCGAGGCGGGGCGGGGGGGGGGCAGGGAGAAAGCAGAGCTTATAGGAGCAGTGCGCAAACAGAGGGAAATGTTTGCATTTCCTCCAGGGACCAAATCCCCTTCCTAGCAACATCGGTCCTTTGGGGCTCTTTTCTAGGGACCTGGGACTCTCACAGCTGAGACCTGCAATGAAACCCACCAGAGTAGACTCTCTCTACACCATGATAACCTTAAGGGTCAAGCATCCCTGTCATGTTTTTAATAATAACACACACATATAACATAAAAATACATGTAAAAATAAAATGTCGACATATATGCATATAAATACATGTATAAAAAGGCAGCTAACATTTATTGAGTACTTATGTATTAAGCGAGCTGCAACTGGCTTCACATGGATTATCTCGTTTAATTAATACTCCTACGAGGTAGGTTTTATTATTGTTATTCCCATTTCATAGATAGATTGAAGTGAGATGGGTCCAAAATCATACAGCTACTGAGTGGTATTTGATCACGTAATGGCTGATTCAAAACCCAGCTTTTATAGGAACAATTTGTGCTGCTGTGGAAAACTGCATTTTCTAGAGCATACATTACCAGATTATTTGATTCTGAGTCTACGGGAGCAATTTCACAGCTCTTTAGATTGTAGCTTGCTGATAACAGTGCAAAATAATTCTTGTCTAGAGACAGGTGAATAGATTGTCTAGCAGAGGGCCAACCTCCCCTCCTGTGGGAGAAACAGGTTTATGCCCATTTGCACGTTCATTTCAAAATTGCTTTACTCCATACAAATGTGGGTGTTGGCTTTTTCCCTTGAACCAGTTACAACATTTGCTTGGTTCCTTCATGTAATAAGGGGGTTAAATAAATTATTTAATTCATGTTCATTTTGTATCTGTATATGAGGCACGATTTTGCTTTTTTTAAAAAAATCACCCTTTCACAGTTTCACCAGAAGACTCTCCGTGATGGCTCATGGAGAACAACAAGAGGAAATAAATACAGATAGTAACATGTAACTCGAGCACCTGGAGGGAGGGGCATTTCCATCCTCTTTGGTTCTTGGTGGCCTGTTACCCAGCAGAGGCCATTTTTCCCCATCTAGGTGGGCATCCGGAATGTCTCAACCCCCTCAGAGTCCTAACTTAGAGGTTGTGGCCGAGAGAGAGTCAAGAATCACTTCTCCGTTCTAAAGCTCACTTCCAACCCCCTCTTCGCATCGGAGGGCCTGCTTCTCTCCAGCCAGTGTTACTGAGATGACCCAGAGCCTCACCCAGGAGGTTCCGAGGGTGCTGCCCTGTGGGATCCACCGGAAATACACCCCGGAGTACAGTCAGCCTGACTTTCACACGAAAGAGCTGTATGTACAATTAAATGAATCAATAGGTTTAAACTGCTTAGAAGAGTGACTATAAAAGGGCTATAGGAGTATTGGCTCAATAACCCTCCCACATAGATCCTTTAAAAAAAAAAAAAAATCTCCAAACCCTGCTGATGTCTGCTATTTCTGTTTTGCTTCTTGAGATTCCCGTGGGGGAATGCGAATGTGCGGGGCTGGCAGGTAATTCCCAGGTTTCTGTTCAGGAACATTCGCAAATAGAACTTTAACTCTCAGTATGATGATCCTGCCTTTGGTGGCCCAGGCATTTTAACAAATGGGTGAATAAACCACTGTATAACGCCTACAACCACATTTAAACCCTGCAGTCTGGAAGAAACCTCAGCTGCTTTGTTTTCACAGGGTGGGAGTGGCAGCCCGGCCTGGTAGGGCACCCCTGGTCTGGGTGCTACATCGCCAAAGGGAGGCACAGGGCCAGGAACCTGACAGCCAAGTTTCTGAGCAGCCTTCTGTCCCCGGAGCTGGGGGCCGTGAGGACTGTTGTTTTGCTGGCCCTCTTGGGGCTGGGGCAGGGTAATAGCTTAGCACAGGACAGAGAGGAAGTAAGACGGCACATGAGGAGGTCATCAGGCTGTAGAATATTTGTGACCTTAGCCCAGTACTAATGAGGCCCTAAAAATGAGATATTTTAATGGCAGACTTTGCAGTTTCTTTCGTGTGTAGGAAAACACATTAGTGACCGTGGTATTTTAAGTGACCAGGGCAGACATACCTTGCTTTCGCTTTCGTTGGATAGAATTTCCAGAGCTTCCAGGTGCGACAAACCTTGATACTCATCAAACAGCATCCCATAGTGGGCAGTCCTCTCGGCCGTCAGCTGCTGGGCCAGTCTCTCCTTCTCTTTCTCCCTGGCTTCCCTTAACATCTGCAGAAACACACAAGGTTTGTGCCCTGGATGTGGGCTTGAAAGTCTCATTTCCTCTGCATGATGTAGGGAGAGATGAGGACTAGCTTTGTCTTTGTGTCACTTGGGCATTTCTAACAAAATGATTCTTTCATTGATTCTACTGACAGTTTTTACACAATATTACCCTTCGAATCTTACATGTTCGCTACGTACACAACAAAGCAAAAATTCTACCCCCGGCAAGAGGATTGGAAAGAAGCAAAACAGAAGCCGAACGAACAGCGGTTTCTGCTGAAGTGTTTTCCGTGTGTGTGTGATTAATTTTCTTATTTTCCGAAACACCCAAATTTTCTATAGTGAGCAAATTGATGTACACCGGGAAAGTGTAATCTGTTGTGATAGGGTTCATTGCAACTTCTGCACCCAGCCAGACCTCAGAGTAGCCACAGGTTGGTCTGCTTTGATCGGAGTTACGTTATTTTAAAAATTTTATGTGTGTGGTTTAACCATCTTCGATGAAAAAAATTCATAAAATATAAACTCATAATGCGTTCCTTGTCAGATACTCAGTATAAATATGAATATCAGCTGATCAATTCCTGAGAAGTATGACTGGGAATGGAGCTCCTCTCCATGTTGATCATTTTGCTCCAGTTATTTTTTGTTGCTTACGTAAAGAGAAAAGGAACACGAGTGCCTCAGTCACTCCCAATTTCCTGCACTTGCTTTCTGTGATTCCAAGCATCTTTTATTTGATTCCTTATTAAGTTTCCTGGGCATTATGTTTATAGGGTTCTTTAGTATCTCTGGAAAGCACCATAGACACAGTGGCTGCCACAAGTTCACAAGGGAAAGATCATGGAAGAACGACTGTGGTTTTTACTGGGTGTTAATCAAACAGTCAAGCTCCTTCTCCTTCTGGGTTCTTGAGGCCATTAGCCAAAAACTCACTGGGCTTCCAACAGAATTCTCCCCTCTGTCTGTCTTTAAGACTACATATGCACGAGCTCTGAATTTTAAAGTTTTCAAAACAACTTCATCAAATGATCACTGGGGATTTTTTTTTTTTTAAAGATTTTATTTATTTGAGAGAGAGAGAATGAGAGATAGAGAGCACGAGAGGGAAGAGGGTCAGAGGGAGAAGCAGACTCCCCGCCGAGCAGGGAGCCCGATGCGGGACTCGATCCCGGGACTCCGGGATCATGACCTGAGCCGAAGGCAGTCGCTTAACCAACTGAGCCACCCAGGCGCCCTCACTGGGGATTTTTTAACACTTACAATAAAACCCAACTATTCTCACTGATCTTCCTGGCTCCGCGGTGGTAAAACAAAACAACCAAGTAACACCAAAACTGCTTCCTTTCCCGAGAGCCACTTCTTTCTCTAACTTTGTGCTTTGGAACAGAGGGGAAGGGATGAAACGGAGGGGCCATGGGGCAGGTCGCTCTGGAGTGATTCGGATTCACTCAGAAGATAGAGAGAAATTAAAGTTGCTTAAAGAAGAACTGGCTTCCCAGAGGATGTCGGTCTATTTTCCACCTGGAAAGGAAAAGGAGATGGTCTGAAACAGCAATGAGTGGTTGTGGCGTGGGAGTCTTCTTCCCGACAGAAGGGTAGCTCTGGGGACTTGCGCCTGTGGGTCCGGAAACCACCCCGTGCCGCGGGGATAGAACACGGGAGAAGTTCAGGGAGTGTGTGTAGGAACATTTTGGGCTTCTATAGTTATTTAGTGTGAATTAGGAAAAACCCAACAGATTTCCCTATGTCAATGGACAGCAGCTTCATCCTTTGAGCTGTCCATGCCAACACCCGTGGAGTCGCTCTTGCTGCCTCCTTATCTCTCACCCCACGTTCCCTCCATCAGGAAGTCTGGGCTGACCTTCAGAATATCCCTGGAATCAGCATTCACCGCCCCCTTCCAGGGCTCCACACTGAGCCCCCACGTCCTCCTGCTTAGGTAACAGCACTTGCCCCCTGAGGAGGCGGTGAGAGTTGCAGCATCAGTGACCAAGGGCCCCGGAAGCTGTACTTTGCAATCCACGCCTCCCGTGATGAATCACCGGTGTGGCAGGGACACTGGGGAGACCTGTGCCGGGAGAGCAGCTGAAGGACTGTCCCAGGGCTCTGCCCGCCTTTCCTCAGAGGACACAGCAGCCTAGGACGCTTTCACCCCATCTTCCTCCCTCTCCCAATCCCTGGGGTCAGCCGTGCATCCTGGTCTGACAGCCCTCCCAGCTGTCTTACCTCCCGGCTCCACTTTCTCGCTCAGCACTTCCCCTAATAAAATCCTCGCGTGTTAAGGCCATCTTGGCCTCTGTTCCCGGGACAGTCTGCGCTGGTACACACTCTACCTGGTCTCCCTGCCCTCGGCCCTCCCTATACCCAGTCTGTTTTTAACACAGTGACTAGAGTGCTCCTGTTACAGGCAGATTTTGTCACTCCTCTTTTCGAAATGCTGTAACGTTTTCCCCATTTCACTAACAGTACAACCTGAAGTCTCTACAAATGCCCTCCAGGATCTGCCAGGACCTGCTCCGCATTAGTAATCTAGCCTCATCTGCAACAGTTCTCCTCCCGGCTCACTCCTCTCCCACCATGTAGCATCCTTGTTCTTTGTCCACACTAGACACTCCTGCCCCAGGGCCTTTGCACGAGCTGCTCTTTCTGCATGGAATGTGCTTCACTCAGATTTCAGCATGGTCAAGCCCCTCATCTCCTTAAATTATTTGCTCAAATGTCATCATCCATCTCCATGAGGCCACGCCCCCAACAATCTAATTTAATACCTAACCTGCCCCTCACTCCTACATACCTTCTTCCTGCTCTTTTTCTCCCACAGCACTCAATCATCTTTTAAAATACTAGATAATGTTGATGGTTTGTTTATCTCTCCTCACTGTAATGAAACTCCTTAAGGGCAGGGATTTTTATCCATTTTGGCTACTGATGTATCTCAAGTGCTTGGAAGAGTGCCTGGCACATAGGGGACATTCAAAATGCGTCTGTGGAATGAATGAATGAATGAATGAATGAATGAATGAATGAATGAAAAGTTACTGTGTGGCAGGAAGTTAGTAGTGTTGTGGTGATCCATGTGAATTAGAGGTGCCATGCTCAAGTGTGCCCCCGAATGTTGGGTACCATACTCATTGCACTTTTCTGATGTGTAATTAGAATAAACACTACAGATGGCTAGTGTGGATTCTCGGGTGACATATTTCCATGAGCATTCCTCCTTACTTTTTAGCAGTAGGCTGATACAAATTGTGAAGGTGGCCCCAAACCTACAGTAATCTGGGAACCTAACCAGATCCAATTCTCCATTTTAGAGGTGTGTAAATTTCAGACAAGAGTAGAATTAGCCAGTTTCTGTACTTGGTCACATTTTCCCCACATTATCAGTTTCTTAACCAGAATGAAATTTATATACCTACATATATACTTACATATGTATGCATATGAATGCTTGTATGTACACACATGCAATATATGTATATATGTGATATATATGTATCTAGAAATTCTATAGACATATGAAATCTCATGGCAAAAATATTCCTACGTGCTCACCAAATATCCTTTTCCTCCTAGACACATGGCTAAACTATATTTCCCAGCCCCCTGAGCTGAATTAGGCAGATAAGTAATAGATAGGTGTGGTAAATTTTGGCCAAAGGAATGAGGGTAAAGTTCTAAGTTGTCCCACCTGGTCCTCCCCATCTCACCTTCCCCTCTCTACGAGGCTAGAAGTAAAGAGTTTTAGGACGGCAGAGTCGCGGGATACGGGCTCAGAAAAGAGCCGCCTGGAGAGTCCCCGAACAGGAACGCTTACATCACAGGAGCAAAAGATAGACTTTTTTCTGTTCTTAGCCACACTGATCCTTGAGGGTTGGTTTTTCTGTGTTGCTTTTGTTTTGCAACATCTAGCATTAATTACCTGATTAATATAAATCTATTTTCTTTTTTTAATGATTTTTTAAAAAAGATTTTATTTATTTGTGAGAGAGAGAGAGAGAGAGCACAAGTTGGGGGCGCAGAGGCAGAGGAAGAAGCCAGACACGGGGGCTTGATCCCAGGACCCTGAGATCATGACCTGAGCTGATGGCAGATGCTTCACTGACTGAACCACCCAGGCGTCCCTCTATTTTCTTTTTAAAGATCAGTAGGGTGGTAGTTTAGGTGATCCTGCCAAGTCCTGACCCGAGCTATAATAGCAGAGTGGTTATATGAGGGTTACTCTGGAAGAGACAAGGGGAAATAGCTTAAAACCAAAGCTTTTCAGGAACTGCCACTCACATGGTGTCAGTAATAGTTCCTCGGTGGCTTCCTAGTACTGAGCTGTGAGAAGCTATGTTTGTCCTGCCCACGAAATTTACAAAACCCGGGGCCGTATCCGCCGCTCCCGATTTCAGGAGGGCAAAGACAGACCCGGTATATCTGACCGTGAGGGAGGAAGGGGACATGGAGCCAGCTTGCACTGCGGTGCATGAATTGGGCACGTGCCATCTAAGAGAGCAAGTTCAGTATTAGCGTTCTATACTTGGAAAATAAGATAAATAGTATTTTTAATTTACCTGACTACTATAAATAAGCAAAACACAGATTAAATTCTTTTTTTTTTTTTTAAGTAAGCTCTACACTCGATGGAGGGCTTGAACTCATGACCCCGAGATCAAGAGTCGCATGTTCTACCAACTGAGCTCTACCAGGTGGCCCACAGATTCAATTCTTCGTATCGTATTTCTCAAGGAGGGTTGGGAAACTTTAAAACTGGAAGTGTGAGAAGAGAAGCCCATCCTTGCCCATAGTAAGAGCACTGTAAATTAAAATTCAAATGAAATGCCATTTCCACCTATTATATGGACACAGAATAATAACAACAATAACCGGCATTCCTGAGTGTTTGCTAAGAGCCGGGTACTATGCTAACTCATTTAATCTTTACATCAAAGCTATTGGTAGGTACTGATGTTATACCCAGTACAGATGATAAACCAGGGCATAGAGGGGTTAAGTAACCTGTTCAAGGTCATACGGCTAGAACGTGGTAGAGCTGGAATACGTACAATAGTGTTATAAACTGAACACTGTGTACCCCCAAAATTCACATGTTGAGACCCAGTCTCTGGTGTGATGGTATTTGGAGGTGGGGCCTTTGGGAGGGGATTAGGTCAAGGGTGGAGACCTCATGAATGGGGTTAGTGTCCTTATAAAAGAAGGCCCCCAGAGCTCCTTCCCTCTTCCACTATGTAAGGACACAGCAAAAAGACAGCTGTCTATGAACCAGGAATGGGCCACCACCAGACACCGAATCTGCCAGCACCTTTGACTTTGGGCTTCCCAGCCTCCAGCGCTATGAGAAATCAGTGTTCGTTGCTTGTAAGACGCCCAGTCTATAGTATTCGGTTATAGCAGCTTGTGTGGACTAAGACAAATGGCAAAAATGTAATCATCTTCAAGAAATTATTAAGTGAATAAAGCAAGGTACAAAAGAGTGTGGTGGGTATACTACCAGTGGTCTGAGAAAGTATGTATGTATCTCCATGTATGTATCCGTATGTGTAGCTATATGATAATTCTGAGAGTATCCACAAGAAGCTGTTAACAGTGTTTGTCTCCCATGAGAAACCAAGTGGCTGGGGAAAGAGGTGCATTAGAAACTCAATTTTCATTCTCTACTAATCTTATGTCATTTGAATTTAAGTCATGTGCTTGAAAATACCTATTAAAAAAGATACATAAAAATGCATTTACTTTACAGACTGAAAGAAAGCATTGCAAACGTGTATAATCCCACCTGTGATAAGGAAACGGTTCTCTCCATGAGTGTCTTGGTCCGCTTAAAGCCTGGGTCACTCTCCGCAAGGACATTCATGGTTTTCTTACCGATGAATTCCAGAGCATCAAGACCACCCGTTAAGACACTTTTACCCTGCCAATGAAATAATTGCATGAGATTAGTTTTTGCCTTTTGCTTTTCCACAGCAGTCAGCAACTCCTAGATGGTACCATTTTCAGATATTAAAATCAATAAAAGTCACAATTTTTTCTCATTAGCTGTCTTCTTTATATCCACTTCATCCTATTTTCTTTTCCTTGGAAGGGCACATGTCATATAATTTGTAGGACAGATGATATTATTTAAAAAGGGTGCTTGGGAAAAACCAAAGCATATTTGGGACGAATTTTGCTGGTTCTGTGTGTAGGAAAAGATATGTATCTAAGACATAAAATTAATAGGTGATTCCACTACTGTTTTTGTTTGAAAGAATGTTAACCCAAGTAACAGAATTATGTGAAGCAGTCTATTAAGATGTCAAATACTCTTGCCAATTTAGTGAATTCTTTAATCTAGAGCCTTGGAGTGTAGGACCCCCAGGCTGTGTCAGATGGCTCTTGCATACTTTCAGAAACTACTAATAACCGCCTATAATTAGTATATTCATGAAATAAGACAGGTTGATTTCCATAGACCACTGGCTTTAGAAACTGTCCGATCATGCAGTTACCCTTCTGCAAATCCTCTTGTCAGCCATTGTTTTCCTTAAAAGAGAAAGATTAAAACAACCAAGCTTTACTCATATAAACTGTTCATATAAATAGAACGGCTTACATTTCTTTGCAACTTCTATACAAACACTCCCACTCCACAACTGCAATTACACTATGCATACATCTGTGTTTTTTCCACCTTACATGAATTTATGTACATTATATTTTAGTATTATATTATTGCCTATATACATTTTCTAATCTTCTTAATTATTGCTTCATTAGCAATATTAGACTTCACTGAATATACTTTAGTCGTCATTTCCATCTTGGACATTTAGACTTTGTTTTCAGATTTGGGAGCCAATCAACAGTCACACTATAAAACACATTTTAACACACACATATTGTGGAAGGACTAGGGGATATCGGCAATGTATATTTTTGCCTAATATGGTTTATTTTCTTTTAACACCCTATGAGGGGTTACTTTGGTAAACATCACATGGGAGAAGGAAGGATATAGGGACTTCGATGAAGGGCGGACCTGGTGGGAGTGTCTGGAACTTTGGAAAAGAAAGTATCAGAAGGTAGAAGCGAGGGCACCTGGGTGGCTCAGTTGGTTAAGCGACTGCCTTCGGCTCAGGTCATGGTCCCGGAGTCCCGGGATCGAGTCCCACATCGGGCTCCCTGCTCAGCGGGGAGTCTGCTTCTCCCTCTGACCCTCTTCCCTCTCGTGCTCTCTATCTCTCATTCTCTCTCTCTCAAATAAATAAATAAAAAATCTTAAAAAAAAAAAAAAAAGAAGGTAGAAGTGAACACAGACCAGAAATGGGGGTGCTGAAGACAAACTCAGAGTGCCCTGCATTGTCTCAGGGAGACGAGGAACTCAAGTCTCATAACCACGGCTACTGAGGGAGCTCCTCCCCATGCCCGAGCCTACCCACCCCTCACTGTAGACATACTGGACTTGCGATGCTATCCGACTCCTCAGACACATTTGCTGCTTCCCATTCACCCTACTTAGTCTACAGGGCCTCAAGTCACCAGGAGAAGAGCTGGCATTTTCTAATTCTGGCATGCCCGGACCCCAGAGTCTGGGTAAGATACCCTCACCTTCTCTTCTTCCCACAATGCTTTGTACTTGCCTGTCGAGTTGTCTCTGTCTTCCAGAATGTTCTGCCCTCTTGTTTGTCAGCATATGCCCAGCATCTAGCATAGCTCCTGCCCCACAGTGAGGGCTGATCACCTTTTTTTTTTTTTTTTTATGAATGAATGAATAAGTTGGATAGCAACTATATTTCTAGAAAAACTAGCTGGTTGGTTTTACATGGCAGAAAATAAACCTTTTCTTCTCGTCACTGAAGACCAGCTAGTTGTGTCTTCTCGGTTGGGGGGGGGCCTCCCTCTTTTTTCATTATTCATCAGTGTGTTGTTGCCAATAACACACTTCTTTAGGAGGCAGGAAGGGGTCTGGGCTGGGGGGATAAACTTAGGGTTATTTTAGGAGAGTAGGAATTGGGAGGTAGGGATGGGGGAAGAATGTTGGTCTTAGTTATCTGGAAACACTTCAGAAACATCTTGGGATGTTGTTCCCAATTCCCTACCAGCATCTTTTTTTTTTTTTTTTAAATCTGAATGGTTTTATCATTTTCAAATTGAAGGTTAAGAAACACAGACCATCTAGGAAAAACAGCTGTCTCAGCTCTAAGAAAGAGCCCTCTCTCTTCCCCCAGCCAGAGGCTGGTCTGTCCTTGCAGCTGTTGGAAAGGACACTGTTACATCAGACTGAAAATATTCCTTCTAAGCAGCTCTTTTCTTTTAAACATAAAATATACATCTTTTGCCCTTATTGTTTTGATGCCAAGGTTACGCCTACTCTGGAGGAGAAAAAGCATAACAAAACCATAATCGAAAGTTATGAGCGAGGCCATCTTTTCTCTAATGTATCTGGGTCACTGGTAAATACTGATATCAAAAGGAGGTGCTGGAAGACACAGGGAAAACAGAGAAGCAGCTAAGGACTCACTGTGTTTTGAACGACGTTGGTGATGGTTGACAGCATGCCCCGAGACCCGGATGCAGGAGAAGTGGGTGGGCTTTCTGCCCCAGAGCTCTGATCTGTGGCCACATGGGCTAGTAGGGAGAAAAACATCCTCTTAGAGTTCATTCTGCTGATTTGAGCTTAGAAAGCTTCCATTTGTGCACATACGGCCCAAGTCCAAAAAGCCCCCCCAATAAATGCATCACTCACTCTGAGGGACTCCATTTTCAGCATCAGGTTGGGCCCCTTCAGCAGGGCTGGAATTTACACTATGAATCCGCAGGGTGGCCCCTGCTTTTTCCTTGACTGCTGTCAATCCATGACCTGTCAGGAAATAAAAGTATGGTTCAGGAAAACAATAGAAACCCCTGCTCTGCCAATTCAATAGCTCATGTTCCAGAGCTGTACTGAGCTGTAGGTGTCCACCCCGGTTGTAAGAGACTGCGGCGGTTAGCAGCGTGGATGGATCCTCTTTACTCTTTTTTAAACTCCTCAAAACAGGCATGCATCATTCATTTTTGGATTCCTTACAGGCCTAGCCTGTCACAGACCCTCAATTCATATTTGTTGAACTGAAATCAGGTGAGGCTCATCATGTTCTCCCAAAGGGTTCGTCCTTCTTTCGGGGCGGAGAGTGCAAGGTCTGGGGCTGATAGGTCAAAATTAAAAGGCCAATCGGTGAGAAAACCAGGAGGGGCACCCAACGGCTCTGACAGTTGTCCTAGGCACTAACAGTCAGGATGAAGGACACTGGCTTTACCGCATCCAAGCGGGGCCCGCATATCCACATTCTCTGCAGCCCAGCACAGAGCATAGTCGAGAACTATTTGGTAAACACAGAGCTGACCTCCTCATCCCAGCACCCCTGCCACACACACAAACAACCCCCCCCCCCACCTGGCAGAGAAATAGTCTTGTCTACATTTTATTCTGGAGCAATTTTTTTTTTCTCCTCAGAGGCCCCCACGATGAGCTGTAGCTTTTCTCAAGTTCCCAAACTGAACGCAAAAATTAATAGTCTACTGGGAGTCCTAAGTGGCTGTTTGGGTTCTTGAAGGAGAAATAGCCTGGTGTGCCACTGTCCCAGCTCTCACCTCCCCCTTAGTCTGCAGGGAGAAAGGGGAGGATTTCCCTAGGAACCCAGGCACTGTCAGGTTGGTAAAACCCAAGACAGCAGCAATATTAATATGTGGGGGAAAAGTTCCAAATCATGGCAGAATTTGAGAACCAAAGAGAAGCACCTACTCTTAGAAAGCGCTGTCAAAATGACCAATTATTCATCTCCTGAATAAGAGAAAGACATGGATGAATCCCAAACCCAAATAAGAGTATTTTATCAGTTGTAACTTTATCAGAGTGATCTTTTTTTTTTTAAAGATTTTATTTATTTATTTGACAGAGAGAGACACAGGGAGAGAGGGAACACAGACAGGGGGAGTAGGAGAGAAACAGGCTTCCCTTGGAGCAGGGAGCCCGATGTGGGGCTCAATCCCAGGACCCTGGGATCATGACCTGAGCCGAAGGCAGACGCTTAACAACTGAGCTACCCAGGCGCCCAGAGTGATTTTAACATAATCAGGGCGCTGATATTTACCAAACAGAGGACTAATTAAATCCAGTGGAAATCACCTGTTATACACTATTGAGAAAACAGGGAAACTTAAGAAATATTATTTACAATGTTTACCACATTAATTTCATACAGAAATATGTCTATATTCATGTGCAGCTCCTCAGATATAGTTCAAACTTATTATTGAGTTACTTGGGAAAAAAACATGCCCTGCAACTGCTAAAACTAAGGCTGAAATTCATCCTCTCTAGCTTCCGGTAAATTCCAAGCATTTCAATGGAAACTTACTGGAACTCCAGTAGCACATTGAAGTTAAAGGATATCATTGAACTTATTTACATACCGAGTCCATATTCCTTGCCATATTTTAAAAACATGTATTTTCCAAAAGGAAATACTGTATATCCAAATCACAATCATGATTCTCATTGAAATTTCTGAGGGCTTAAAGTAAAGTAATAAATGAGTTGGAGCAGGCTGGGAGGCATCTGCTACACCTTCTTTGTGAAAGCCACACAAGAAAGATGACTCCACATCCTTCATGCAGGGTTCAGTGAAGCTCATTGTCATGATCTCTTTCACCTTCTTTGCCCCTTTCATGTGATTCTTTTCCTAGGGAAAAACAGCTTCTCGCCATCTCAGAACACAAATGATTAGGGGTATGTCTGCATTAACTGTCTCTAGAAAAGTTACTTTGTTTCTGGAAGGAAATACCATGTTTGTGTTCATATAAATGGGATGTGCCTGTTTAGTACATATGATACTATGCTGCTACTCCAGCCTCTCTCTCTCTCTCTCTCTCTCTCTCTCTCTCTCTCTCACACACACACACACACACACACACACACACACACACACACAGACACACAGCTTTACTGAGGTATAACTGATATTCAAAAAGTTGCACACATTTAAGTTTGCTCCAACTTATTTTCTGATGAACAGTTCTCTTTCCTGAATTCTTTTGTTAAAGTACATCTTTACTGCATTCTACCAGAAAGAGAAAGCTATGGTTCTTCACAACTAAGGTTTAGACAATGCCGCATCCTACTTTGAAGAATAACTTCTAAAACTTTACTTAGTGTGACACCTAGTGCCCAGAATAAGGAAGTAATAATATGGAGTCGTTGCCTTTTGACTGTGAGTGACTCATTCTCAGAGATATTCATTAGGTTTTACCAGGAACAGGGGAAAAAAAAAAAAAAAAAACACCCAACAAATACGAATAATACTCTACTGTATAATTCATGGATTCTTTATACATCATCACAAATCCTAAATATCCTCAAAGAAATGAAACTCCTCCAAATTCCACGGCTCTAAAAGGAGGCTATCCTTTATGCCTTGACTTATTGTACAGAAATAGGTGAATATTGCAAAGAAGATAAGACCGTTGTACAAATGCTGTGAAACTGTATCATTTTAAAGCAAATGTTAAATGTTTAATTTCTCACCTATACTCTAGTGGGAAACATCCTTAACTTAGGAGGCTTGTGGAGGAATTTGGGTTCCGTCATTTGTTAGCTGTGTGATCTTTGCGAGTTACTTAACCTCTCTGAGTCTCTACTGTTGTGTCTTCCCTGAAAGGAGGATTATAACATCGATCTCCCAGGGTCCTACAAGGTCAGGAGAAATACGTGAAACCCTTGGTCCTGGCCAACATTTATTGAACAGTTACTACGTCCCAGGCATTGGACTAAATGTTTTTAGTCTAGTAAATTATCTCATTTAGTCTTCTCATTATGAGGTAAGGGATATTATTATTCCCATTTCACAATGGAGAAAATGGAGATCTGGTGACATGTAATCATTTGCCGAAGGTCGCAAAGCCAATAAGGGGCAGAGGCAGGATCTGAACCCAGTCCTAACCCTAGAATTTACACACTTAGTTGCTATGTTATATTTAGAAAGATTTATATGCCATTTACAGTTGATAAAATGTCATTTTAGTCCCATTTCTATAACTGCTTAGAAATCAGATCCTTGATCAGGAGCTTTCTTATTTTTAAAACACTGGCTTAGGCTAAAATTACTTGACTTACCTTACCTTGACCAGATAGCAAGGTGAAGGTCACCTCTGGAATGGAAACTTTCTCTAATCCTGCCCCTTTTAGCCAGGTCTTGGGTCGGCATAATGTGATGTTTTTAGGATCACCCCCATGCTGTGCAGGCACAGATCCTAAGACACGGTGTGGTGTTATCTTATACATCCAGTTTCATTTTTTTTTTTCCTCCAAAAGCACTGCGATATCACCAAGCCATTATTTTGTGAGTCCACCAAGATCAAAACAAATTAAAAAATGATTTGTTGGTGGTGGGAGGGTCTCTCTAGCCAAGTGGTAACTTAGGGAAGCAACAGAAGTTCTCTGTATCACCCTGGATGACTGGCTAGCGCTAGGAGTACTTTCTACTGGTCCCCTACAGTAAAGCACCTATAAGTAGGGCGCCAGCTAGCTCATCCAGAGGGCTCCCTCTCCACTTTAATTTTTTAATTATTTTTTAATTTTTATTTTATTTTTTAATTTAAATTCAATTAATTAACATATAATATATTATTGGTTTCAAAAGGTAGAGGTCAGTGATTCATCAGTCTTATATAATACCCAGTGCTCATTACATCACATGCCCTCCCCAACGTCCATCATCCAGTTACCCCATCTTGTCACCCCCCTCCCCTCCAGGAAACCTCAGTTTGTTTTCTATGATCAAGAGTCTCTTATGGTTTGTTTCCCTCTCTGATTTCGTCTTCCTATGATCCTCTGTTTTGTTTCTTAAATTCCACATATGAGTGAGATCATATAATTGTCTTTCTCTGATTGACTTCTTTTGCTTATCATAATATCCTCTAATTCCATCCATGTCATTGCAAATACTTTAATTTTTAATATAATGTTTCTTTCATTTCATTTTCTTTAAAAAACGGGTATGTAAAAAAGAAACTAAAAAAATCTTATAATCTCACTTTCCTGATATAGTTGGTTGATTTTTATTTTATTTTATTTTTTAAAGATTTTATCCATTTATTTAGAGAGAGAGAATGTGTGAGTGGGGGAGGGGCAAAGGGAGAGGGAGAGAGAATCCCAAACGGACTGGACTGTAGGCTGAGCATGGAGACTGAGGCGGGGCTCGATCCCATGACCATAAGATCATGACCTGAGCTGAGATCAAGAGTCAAACACTCAACCTACTGAGCCACCCAGGTGTTCCCTATGGAAATACTTAAGACCTGAAAAAAAATGTTGCTTCTAAAAGACAAAAAGGAAAATTATATGCAAACAATGAATCATGGAACACTACATCAAAAACTAATGATGTAATATATGGTGATTAACATAACATAATAAAATAAAATTAAAAAATAGTGTTAAAAAAAGAAATGAATCAATATTTACTTAAATGTACTCAAAATGTGATATTAGGTCAACTGGCCCACTGTAGTTCAAATGAATTCAACTCTTACACACTTATATGTAAATTACATATTTAATGAGGCACATGGCTACGTTTCATTATATTTACTGTGATATAAGAGGGCCTTCAAAAGGAAAAGTGCTTGGCGCTCTTAAAAGACTCTGGCTCTGCCCTCCTCGCCATCCCCCCAACCCCCCATTTCCCTCTAAAGATAATAGCTCTTATTTGTTTCTTGTGATTCTTTGCATAAAAAAATTTAAAAAGCATATACGTGTAAGTGTTCTGGACCTGGCCTCTTCCACTTCAAAATATACAGTGGAGGTCTCAGCACATACAGGTG